TGTTCACAGGTTAAAAAAAAAAAAGTAAGGAGTCTAGGCTGGGTTTATACAGAAATAACAGGAAATAATGCTGGAAAAATGAGGGCCAGCAACATCAAGGGCACTAAAGACTCCTCCCCTCCTGCCATCACCACGCCCTGCCCCTGCAGGCTACTTCCACTGGCCCCACAGGTCTCCCTCGGAATGGCATCTCCTCTGGCAGGTGCCCTTGCGGAACAAGCCTCTATCACCACCTTCTGCAGGCTTCCTGCCTCACAGGTACTGTGTAATTCTGCCTTGCCTCCTGCCTTTCTTCTCTGTCCCCTAAGATGGTTACAGGCCTCTTGAGAACAGGACTGCATCTGTTTTTGTCATTGCTTCTCCAACACCAAGCACAAAGCCTACGGTAAGCACTCATACCAAGCAATAGATTTTAACATGCACGGGGACGGTGGTAACGACAACAAAGGACTACTGTGCTGAAAAGAGTGTGGAAGTAATCAACAAGTAGGAGGCCAGATGTGAAGGTCACAGAAGAAATCAGGGTTTGAGCCTGGCTGACTAGCACAGCGGTGGTGAGGGGTCAGAGCTGCAGGCTGAGAGAGCCTGGGCAAGGACAGGACGGGAGTCGGAGAGAAAGGGAGTCCAATAGGAATCTTTAGATTTCCTGCCTGGAAGATAATGGTTGGCCTACAAGATCTTTCCTATGTCCCATCAACTTGTGTTGAATGAACACCCGCTGCTCAGTTAAGAGGGGATGATTGGACAGGAGGTTTGCTTAGGGTGAGAGGCTGCAGAATGAAAAAGGGAAAGGTGCTGAAGGAGCGCAAGCAGTCACAGACGATAACGAGAGGAACCACATTTGTGGAGCCGGATGCAGAGGAAGTCCCAGGCCTCCTGAAAGGAAGCCAGCTCTCCACAAAGAAACCCGCCACTTTCTTTGCATCCGCCGCAGGCTGGGATCATGTCACATCACTTCCTTCACGGCTGAGCCCGAGACGAGCGCAGCTATTGTCTGACCACTGTGCATAAATGCTAGGGGAAAGGGACAGGAGCAAGAGAGTGCTCGCAGGGAGGTGAGGGCAGGAAAGGGTTCTGAACATGGCAAAGTTCAAGGCAGATGCTGCGCTTCCAGAGCCCTCATCTGGAAAACAGAGTCGGAGCATGCGCCCTGTCGGCCCATTAAATATACACCTAAAGCATTTGATGCGGTACCAGATACAGTCAGTGGGAGATACATGAGAGTGGTTACAGGGGTGACAGAAACCTTCACAGATCCAAGAAGACCCAGTCAATCCCAACTATGGGTAAGAGGTGGAAGAGATGGCAGCTCAGGAAGGCAGCATAAAAACAGCAACCCTCACATCCAGTCTGGGCCTATGAAGAGGAATCTTCCAGATGTGGAAGCACGATGGGGGTTGGGGGGAGGGTACAGTGAGAGCTTTTAAGGGTAGAAAAAAAGAAGTGGCGTTTGGAAAACTGACATGGAGGGGACACAGAGTAGCACCACTCCCTAGGAGGGGTGGAGCCCTTGGCTGCAACTTTCGGTAGAGCTGGCTCTAGGACAAGGTCAGCCTTGGCATGGGCAGAAGGGCTCAGCAGTTTTCCCTTTGTGCATGATGTGAACTGTGGTGTAGACAAAATGTAGTTGGGGTTTCAGTGTCAAAGATGCTGCTCTACTTCCTGGCAAAGTCCAAGGTATCAACACCGTGGCCGTTGGAGAGGAACTGAGGTGTGTGTGGAGACTGGTTCTGCTGTTTCTTGGAAGTGATGGTGGAAGAAAAGAGACTTTGGAGGAACTTGGAATTTTGACTTCAGAATGATTTGCAATAATTTAAAATATCCCCAAGGTGCCAGGGAAACGGCTGAATGGATGAAAGCATCAGTGGAATTAAGGCCATGAAACACATCCCAGATGGGAACAGAGATGAAAGACAAACCTTGGGAATCCCAAGGTGGAATGCCCAGCTCCAGGTCCTAGCCGGGGTTGCCCGGCACCTGGGCTCACTGCTGACTATGTGTTCCTTGGCCTTGAGAAGCCTCGTGGCTCTCTGACTTCACTCCTGTCTCATCACAGCAAGTGCCTGCCAGCTGGACCTGCAGCACTTGGCAGCAGGCAGGCAATGCCCCTGTGGAAAGGACTCCACGGGCCTTTATTCCACACCTTCTCACCAGAGCCCAGGGTCCCTTCCCTATCCTAGCCTCTTGCGTGGCCATGGCCTTGCCCTTTTTGGGATATCTCCTCTCTAGGCTCTTGACTCTTAGTTGGTCTGTATCCATATCAGCTTCATCCTTGAACCCTTCAGCTCCCACGCTGTGAGCCAAGGCCTTTTCTTTCATGAGCTAACTAACTTGTACAAGCACGTTTGACTTAAGCTCAAGTTGGTCATTCTGTGTCTGAATATTTTCTTTAGCCCTGGGACTCATTCTGGGAAGATGATCAGGTTTGGTCCCACAGTTCTTCCTCTGAGAGATGGGGCAGAATCAGCTGTGCTATTCACAGCCAGCCCCGGGAGGAGACCCTGGGCTTGCTCCTCCGTGTGGCCACAGCACAGCGCAGCCAGTGGGCACGACCCCCCTCTTGGCATCTCCAAGCTGCTCATGGCTTTATTGTCTAGGAGGGACAGCAGCTGTGAAGACAAAGTCGCAACACGGTGGGATTAACAGGCCACAGCTTGCACCCTGTGCCTCCGGGGGCTGGATTTCCTTACCCCTGCTCCCCAATAGGGCTCTTTGGGGATTCCCTTTCCTTGGGCTGCCTTCTAGCAAGTGAGAGGATGTGGAAAAGAGGGCACCCCGCAAGCCATAAACGACCACACACAAGCCAGCGTAATCGCCGGTTTTCGCTCTTGGGCTTAATTACAGCTGCCCTTGCTCAGACTTCATGGCAAGTTGGCAGTGGCGTCAGCCATGGTTGCAACACCTGCTCTAAGTGCTCTTCTCCCTTCAGGGGCCTCTGTGGGCACTCTCCACCCTGCTCTGTCCAGGGGGCCCAGCGCACCCTCATTCTTGGAAACTGATGACTGGCAGATTAGCAGTTTCCTCACTCAACTCTCTTACTAAGCTGGGCCATGCTTTCTCTCAAAACAAACGCCCTGGCAGCTCCCACCTCGGATACCTTTTGGGAAAATGGCAGCATCATGCCACCAAGTATGTGGCCACCCACCCGGCCGCTGTTGGAGGCAACATCCAGGGCTGTTATGCACAGGACCTGTCACGAGCCCGGGGCGGCTCTACTCATCCCAAGCATTGTCCCCTGTGGGCAGCTGACTCATCGCTAAGGAGAGAGAACATCAGGGCCTTCACATTCTTCCCACCGCTTGGTCCCCGCCCTCCCTTCTCAACTCCTCCAAGAAGGTCTCTGAGCCACAGTTCATTGCAACTATCATTTATTAAAAAATATATGTCTCCTTGGAAGGAACACTGGTAAACCAACTAGTGTCATGCTGACTTTGCCCACTTGACTCTTCTTCCCTGGGAGGGGAGGCTGAGCACCATGCAGACTCTATCACCCAGTTAACACCAGAGGACCACTGCACCCTGCTCACCACCCCTCCACCGGAGTCAGACCTGGCCCTCGCCGTGGCCCTCCTTGCCTCAGCTCCAGTGTGCTGCCCAGGGAAAGCTGCTGCCCTTTCTTTACCCTTCCAGGGCCCCACTTTACAGTTAGCCTATGATGCTGGTGGCACAGCCGTGAACACACTTCCCGGAGTTGGCTGACAGTATTTAAAAGCATCCTCGACGTTGTCTCGTTCACACCAGTCCTAACCCAGCGGGCTCAACCCCAGGGCTGAACAGCTCAATGTTCTCCCCGGCGGCATCCCTCCGGCATGGAGGTGAGGGAGGCACGTTGGCTTCAAAGGAGCACAGTGGGGGTGGGATAGGGCCTGAGCCACACCTGCTCTCTGCCGATGTGGTGGGAGGCAGAGAACTCCCTTGCCCACAGTCACTGCCATCAGACTCTGGGGACAAGCAACAAGGTTTCACACGTCACCAGGAAGCAAATCTTAGCTCGACAGCTCAAATGTACAGCATTAAAGTCTACTAGCTTCTTCAGGGAACAATAAGCAATGGGCTGCTGGTGAAGGGCCTGGGTAGCGCATACGGAGCAGCTGCGAACAAAACAAAACAAAAACAAAACAAAACAAACTCACTCATTGGCTGGCCAAGCCCAGGGCTGTGCCACAGTCCCAGCATGGAACTGGGAGGCAAGTTGCCTCCCCATCATGTCGGCAGCCCCGGGAGGGAACCTCAGCCAGGTCTGGCCTGCTCTTGGCCAGTAAGCAAAGGGCCAGCTTGGCAAAGCAGAGCCCGGGCTCCGACTCCCACCCCTCATCAGTTCCTGCTTAGCCCTTTGGCTGGCTCTGGCCCAGCCCGCGTCAGCTACTCTATCACAAGGCCCTGACTCCTTCACAACCTCCTAAGCCTTCAGAACACTGGCAAACTGGATTCTACGCATTCACTGAAAGAGGAAAAGCAAAAATTGCAATAATGAAAAGGCTGACACAGTAGCACAACATGGTTTTGGTTTAACAGCAGCTTAAAAATGAACAAAAAGGAAAACTCTCATGCAGACACATCAGGTGGCATAAAACAATAGGCCATTTCCTATGGAGCATTGTTAGCCATTCTCTTTGCACACACAGGACTGACTGTACCTCATGGGCAGGGAACGCTCCCCGTGGGCAGAGGAGCCCTCCTGCCCCTGGGCTAGCCCCTCCCCCACCTAAAAAGACCTCTGCTCTCAGGAGAATGACAATATGTGGGTGCCCTTCATAAAGCACTTCACGACTGCTTTCCATTGCTTCCTAACCAGCTGGGACCTAAGATACCATCTGATTGGAATATGAAAATTAAAGCATTTCTCTAATAGCATAGTACCACTGATGAAGTCTCCATAGATTTTTCTAGTCTCAATGTGTGTGGAGATATATATATATATATTATATGAGAGTGTATAATATATATATATAATAATTTCTATATATTTTATATAAATTACATATATATATATATATATCTGTATATAAATAAGATACTTTCTGTTGCCATTATGTTGCACCGTTCGGAGCTGTGCAGACGGGTGGAAATGCCCAGGACGCCTCGGCACGCGGGGCATGCAGCTCACTTCACAGGCCGGGCAGCCGTCTGGAGTTTGGCCATCAGTCCTCCCCTCTTCTCCTCGCTTCTGCTTGGTTTTTATGAAAACAATGGCTCTGATGGGTGTGCACCTGTGCTAGCGCTTGGGAAGGGTTCATGCAGGAAAGGGGCACAGTCACGTGATGAGTGAGATGGCATCATCCCCCCCAAAATAAATCAAACCAAAACAAAAATTTAAAAAAAAAAAAAGAAAAGGAAAAGAACAGGACTAGAAAACTCAATTTTCTTGACATATCTAAAAAAGGAGACGAGAACGGTAGTCACTGTTCCCCCCATGGGGACATGAGGGAAGAGGGAGGAGGGAAGAGGGTTTTGATTTCTTCTGTTCACGAGAGAATGGTTGGAGGGAATTCTTCAGAGTTTTTCAGGGGATGGGACCCAAATGTAGTGCCCAGACTGGTCCTCAATGATCTGTTTGATTTTGTTATAAATCTCTTCCAGTGAGTCACCCTGTACAATGGCTAAAGGGGAGAGGAAAACACAATTATTATGGTGACCCCAGCACACGTCCAATCCCCCCAGCAATTCTGCCTCTTCCAAGGATCCTATAATCACCCCCAGGCACGACGAGTTGGGGCCCGTGGGGAAAGTGGCTAAGGTGTCTCTGAGCACCAGCAAGGGTCTGGAAGTCCACTCGCTCAGCTAAAAGACTGGGAAGCATGGAAAAGTGTGTTTTCATTCACATGACGTTGACTGAACGCCCAAGCAACACACACCCTGCAGCTCATGCTGCTCCATGGCCAGCAGCTGGTAATTCTGAAGCTGGAAACGCTCCTGGGGCTATGACAACTGCTCCAGGTCAGAGGTCAGACCAGCATACACAGACAAGGATGCCAAAGAGAGCACCAGAGACCCGAGGAGTCCGAGTCCATCCATGGATTCTTTCTCCCAGGAACATAGTAACCACCCAGCCAGAATTCTCCAAGAGCTTCGCCATGCAGGGACACGTGTACCACTACACTTCTGAAGGTAAGGAACGTATGACCTAGGAACCTTCCCAATCTTTCAGGAACTGACCTTCTAAAGGTAGGGGATCTCTCTCTCTCTCTCTCTCTCTCTCTCTCACACACACACACACACACACACACACACACTGATAAACAACTTGAACAACACAAGAAGTCACCATCATCAATAACATTTACTCAGCACCTAAAACCTACAAGGTGAAGTGCTGGGGTGGACAAAAGCCTCGAGGAAGGGAAGCAAAATAATACAGGCAGCCTACGACCATCGCAGCAGCCTTTGTTGAGTGGCTGATACTCTCTACCAGCTAATCAGCTTTGGCTGGAAGAAAAGCAACTTGAGGGTGTTGGATGGGTTTGAGCTCAGAAGCATCCAGAAACCCTATGCAAAGTTTCTGCAGTCTATCTACACCTCTGAGACACACTTACAGAAACAAGTGTCTGGCTGGTCCCGTGGTCTCCTCCCCAGCTGGGCAGCACAGCTTCTTACCTGTAAAGTATTCTCCAAACTCCTGCTCCAGCTTCATTGCTTTGTCATAGATCTTATTTGCTTGCTCATATGTCTGCCGTCGGTTCATTTCCCTGCCAGACACAGAAGAAAAACAGTTCCAAACTATAGCCTATGCTGTGTTTAACATAAAGGATTGCCTCCAGTTTCCTGAAAGTTGCTAAGCGACCCTCTCAGGGAGGCCCATGGCTCTTTTCTTCAACCTTTCTTGCTTCAAAAGCCCCACTGGGAACATAGGGACAGGTATTCCAAAAGGAAGGAGTACCAAGTGACAGGCCTGGAGCACAGTCTCCTTGGAGCTTCTGCTTCAGCTGGGTTCTACCCTCCCTCACTCCTCCCCCAAGTCACTTTATTCTGTATTTTCCTTCCAGGGTCCTATCCTAGCTGGGCACATCTGAGATCCAGCAAACCACTTACATAAGCGCTTCAATGGACTTGGGTTTGATGAAAATGGCAATGGGGTAGAGTTGTGCTTGCTGCAGTCTCTTGATAGCGTTGCCGGAGACATCTAAGATGCAGTGCTTGCCCTGCAAAAGCAGACCTGAATCAGCCCACCCACTGCCTCTTCACCCAATCTCAAACCAGCAGCACTCCAGCCACCACCTAGAATACCCAAGGCCACCCAGAGTGGCTTGAAAGACCCTATTCCTGGGTCAAAGGCCCCACTTTTCACTCCTACTACATAGGAAAGGCCATGCATGCCTATAGTCCCTGTTCCCTGGGAGGGGATGCTCTGGGGTGAGTCTCATAAAGACAGACCCTTTCATCAAGGAACTGGGCATATGGAAAGCAACCACAGCTTCAGTCAGCACTACCACAACATACGCGGCATAGTCCCATAGTCCAGGAGGAAGGAAGTGGATCCAACTGGAACATCAGCCTCAACATTTATTTATTTATTGTTTTTATTTTGTGTGTGTGTATTAAGATTTAGTCACCTATTCATTCAAAAAGCAGAGTGAATGAAAGAGAGGGATTTTTTTTTTTCATTTACTGGTTCACTCCCCAAATGCCCACCACAGCCAGGAACCAGGAATTCCATCTGGGTTTCCCATGTGACTGGCAGGGACCCAAGTAGTTGGGCCATCACCTATTGCTTCCAAGCACATTAGCATGGAGTTAGATCAGAATACAAGCTGTTGGGACTTGAACTGACACTCTGGTCACACTGGCTTGTCCCTTGCAAACTGAGGCTTCCACTCCTAGTCGCAGCCTGAGCATCTTCCCTTTGAGGCACATGCTTAACGGCACCATCTCCTCTCTGCTTACCCTCTCTGCGACTGCTCGCACGGACTGGATGCTGGTCCCATAGAGATTATCATTAAATTGGCCTGCCTCGATGAACTTGTTATCCTGAATATCCTTCTCCATTTGTTCTCGGGACACCACAAAGTGGTAGTCTTGTCCATCTACTTCATTGTCACGACGAGGACGGGTAGTGTCTGAAAGGAAGGAATGAGATGCCATGGTGGGGGTGGAAGAAAAAGTTGGGAAGAACCTTGTGTTGTCTACTTCCCTTCTTGCCTCCAGTTTGCACACAAGGGGGCTATCTGTTTCCACTTAAAGTGTACTGAAAAAGTAGGGTTCCCTAAGCCAAGACCTGGTAGAAGATGCTAAACTTGGTCCGGGAGTCAGTGAATCTGTCAAGCCATTTGTTGAATCATATCAACACCTCCTTACCTAGGGTTCCCCGTTTGTTCCATCTTTCACAAGCCTCCCACTATAGATTTCCCTTCTGTACCCAGCAGCCAAGACTCATGCCTCTCCCAGCACCACCAGCTTTGGGGGAATCTTTTGCTCTCTACTTTCTTCCAGGGTGTCATATGTATCCTGTTCTCCAATAAGCCTAGAATCTGATCCCAAATTCTTTCCATAAAACATGAAGGAAGCAACGCCTGGGGCACTAAGCTGCACTCTTTGGGGCCTGAGCCAGGCTCTTACGTGGTACGCAGGATCCAAATTTGTGTGGGAACTCGGAGATCAGATCATCATTGACTCGGTCCTTCATTGAGCCCAGAATGATCACAGGCCTTGCGTAGTGAACTGGGGAGGGAGAGCATCGAGACAGTGAGCAGCTCCGGAGGGCAGCCATGCCTACCTGTGAGTCGGGCTAGAACAACGGATGCTCTGGAACCACCAGTCTGACTGGGTAAAACATAATTGCCATCCTCTGGCTTCTAACCAAGACATCAAAGCAGCCTTTAATCGGAGAATAGCTAAGTCCAAAGCAAGTCCGATACCAGAAACGTATCTTCTTCCAACAGTTTCAGGAGAAATCTGCACTGACACCAGTAGCCGAGGAAGGTTTCTGAAAGTGATCCCCAATGGTGGGGACTGGGACCCCTCTTCAACAAGTAGCTATAAAGCTCTTGCCTTCCTCCATCAATTTTTCCTTGCCTCTGGGAGGCACCTGGCAAAGGCATACTGATAGGTGCACATGAGATGCCCTCTCGCTTCTCTGTGACAGTAGTAGGAGGAACTCAGGGACCCAGGGTGCAGTGAACCCCACAATCATAAGATCAGCATGAAGGCAAGAATCTCAAAGGGGGCTTACTTTCTTGTCGTGTTACTGGCTCGTATGACAAAATGGCATCCTCTTGTCCTTCTGCAACAGAAGAGGAAGATACATCAGCACTTTAGGACCAGCTTCTTTGTGTACAAGGCTCACTGCCTCCTCTCTCCTGCTACCCACCAGCCTTATCAAGTGCCACTTGCTGACACCTATCCTGGGCTCCTTTTAGCTTCCCAGGGTCAAAAAAAAAAAAGCACAGGAAGTCCTTCAGGGCCTGGGCGAGGAGTCAGCGGTTCTCTCCTTCAACAATGCATTGCTGAGCCAAGAGCAGGACCCAGAAGCCATGAAGCTGCCACCAAAACCCACCATAGTGCCTCAGGAACTGTTTTTAATAGTTGCTATGTTTAGTGGGCCCCTTGCTCAAATTAGAGTCACACGGACACTTGAACTAATTGGAGACATACCTGCTGAGCCTCCCCCAACGCCACATCAAGAGTCAGGTACTCAGGCAGTCCCCCAAGGCTGCAGACTAACTTGGCATTCCTAAGGGTCTACTCATCTCGCTACCCACAGGAAGACGTCCAGAAATGGTGTTTGCCTGGGCTAAGGTCCCTGGTGCCCTTTGAGAACAAGTCACTCTCTCTTCTTGGTGCAGCTCTAGTTAGACCAGACTGGCAACCATGTGAGTTTCCTAACCAGCTGCATAGCTACTTGGTGCTGGTCCCCTAGAACTCCCCAAGTGGCTGATCATTTAACTCCCGTCCGAAGGAAAGGGGGTCCTGAACAGCCTGGAAAGGTGGTTCAGGACTACGCCCAGTGGAGGTATTTCTCTTCTGGTCTCTAAACAAGCCTGTAGATCCGACCTCCTCTATAGCCCACAGAGCCTGTGGAAGGGGCTTGGCATCAGCCACTTCACCCTTCATGGGACCCTGGGGATGTATTCAAGTCAGTTCCTGGCCAGAACTATAGGACTCAGCCTCTCCTTCAGTCCACGGGGCAACCCCCATCCAAGCAGGAGAATGAGCCGGCCACAGCATTTCCAGTCTCTCAAAGTGTGCACGGCTAAAAGAAGCACCAGCCTCAGCAGCGATGGCGATGGTGCCACACTGGGATGAGCATGGCTGGGACACATGGCAGAGCTACACGACATGGTGGGTGGGTGGGTGGGTGGGCGGGTAGGGGAATGACACACACTTACTGGAACTGCTTTCGCTGTCACTGGTGTTGGATGTCACTCCCTCTGCAAGCCAACAAAAAAGAGACTCCAATTCAGAACACACTACTGAGAGGTCACATGCAACACACAACTCAAATGGTCTAGGACTGAGACAACTGAACTACCAACTGAGTCAGGCTGCAGGAAGCCTGCCACATCCAGGCTACCAGCTAGGGGGCATAGCTCCAGGCCTGAGGCCCTGCCCATGTCCTGTTTGTCCCAGGAGCTCTCTTCTCTATCTGTTGAGCCCCTTCCTATTTACTACAAGTCTTCCTTCTTATAGTAACATCCTCTTCATCGGATCCCTACAAACTTTATTGGGATGTCTTCCAAATCTGATCTCAAAATGCATCTTCTGGGAATAACGACAGGAAAGAAAAGGCAGCAATAGGAGCAAAGAGAGGCCCAGGAACCAGGCTGCTCATGGATTTGCTCTACAGACAGGATCTCTGAAGTCCAGAAACATGTACCAAAAGGCTAAGCACTGGATGAGCTGAGGAGGCACAGGGAAAACTACCCTGTCCATGGGGTGCAACCTGTACACAGTCCCCCTGCCAGCACTCTTGAGAAGTGGGGGATGGGCTCCCATCCACCGTCAGACAGGACAAAACACAGACACAACAAACCAACAAGAACACCTCCAGGACAAGATGGCCCTCCTGTCTTGAACCACTAGGATCTGCCACCTCTGAGCAGCCGTAGAGACATGTCAAGCAGAAGAACCACATTCACAGGACATGCCAAAGAGCCTCTCTCCCAGGCCACCCCCGTCCAGGATGACAGGTAAATGAGGATGAGACATGGACACACCAAGCCATGGAGTGAGTCGCTGCTAGTTTCAGCCAAGACCACACTGTTCCAGACCGTGAGATGCTGTGGCCCTACCCCAGGAAGGACTAACTGGCTGAGTTCCCACACATGGCAAGTTTCAGAACAGCCATAGTGGCAGCTCCTCTGCCCCTGGCTTCGTTTGTTGAAGGAGAGTATATGCTGATGGTGCCCATGTGTCTTTGCACTGCCCCCTCACAGCTGGTCCTTTTTTCATTGTATTGTGACTTTCCCAAATAGAGAGGTCGTTTCCCTGAGGCAAAGTGCTAGACATAAATGGTCCTGAATTGGTGCTGAGGTGCCCACTTGACTACCTGCAGAGACCCTGCATCTACTGGGACGCCACAGACATAGGCAGAGTTAAGGGGTTCGTAGTACCCTTGCCCCTATTTAGACCATAAGAGCTGAAATTCCTAATCCCAATTCTTTTTTTTTAAGATTTATGTTCATTATTTACTTGATAGGCAGAGTGACAGAGAAAAGGGGAGATACAGACAAAGAGAGAGATCTTCTATCTGCTGGTTCACTCCCCAAATGGCCATAAGAGCCAGAACTGGGCTAGGCTCCCATATGGATGACAGGGGCCTAAGAACTTGGGGCCATCATCTGCCACCTTCCCAGACATGTTAGTAGGAAGCTGAATCATAATTGTAACAACTGGGCCTGGAACCAGCACTCCAATATAGGATGCTACCAGTGCCTTACCCTGCAATGCCACCATCCCAGTCCCCTAAGCACAATCCTTTAGTGTGGAGTCAATGGGGAAAATAATCTAGCCAGCAGGCTCCCCTTTCCTGCAGATTAACTTCTTCTTGGAGAAACACATGGACCACCTCACTTCTAAGGTGGGACCCCCAAGCTCATGCCCTACACTTAGAGGTGCAAAAGCAAAACACGAACGATAGGGGTTAATTAGGGCACCAGGGATCCAGAGCAAATGTGTGACATTCGGAGCCACATGCACTTCCTCTTGCTGTGCGGACAGAGTTTTCCACAAATGCTGCCCTCCCTTACCCTCACCCTCACCCATGTCCCTTATATCCCACCCCCTCTATCTCCATTCATGCCACAAATATAGTTAAGGGTGTGTAAGTTTGACTTACTCAGGTTCTTTGCTCCATAATAATCGTCACTTAACCCAGGGAAGTCCTGATTTCACAGACAGGAAAGACCGAGAACGGGAGAAGGGAAGGAAGGGGAGGAAAAGAGAGGGGAAGGGAGGATGGGGCAAGGAAGGGGCGGGGAGGGGAAAGTAGGAGAAGGAGAGGAAGGATAAAGGAAGGGAGGGGAGGAGAGGGCAAGGGAGAAGAGAGGGAGGGGAGGAGAGAAGGGGGAGTGAGAAGAGGAGGAGGGGAGGAAGGAAGGATCAGCAGGTGAGGGGAGGGGAAGGAATTGGGGAGAAGGAAAAAGAAAGAAAAGACAAGGGGAAGGAAGAATACAGAGGCAGGTGAACATTAGTGAAAGAAGTATGAAATACTATGAAGACCTGTAACTTGCAGTGAGGTTAAGAACTGTGCTACAGAAAGAACCCCCCGGTCAGATAAGGTATCTGGTCTTCGGGCTGCTTGTTCTTATGGCAAGGAGGCATGGAGTAGGCAGCTCTCTGAGGCCGCCTATGGCCCGTAGGCCGACAGCACAGGACAGGTGACATTCCAAGGCTTGGAGCATGTGCTTTGACCAGTTTGGAAGTTGTAGATCCCAGACCCCAGCTTTGTCCCTGGAAAAGGTGATTTACCTCTATGGGTGCTGGAAAGAGAAATGGCTGTGTGTGCCAAGTAGTCACACAGAGCTACCATCACCTTGAAGAGTTTCTGCTCTATTCTGGCTCCTGTGGAATCAACCCTTAAGGAAGATTTCCCGTGGTCTGGGGTGTGAGCTCGGCTCCTGGAGAAGGTACCAGGTGCTTTGGGCTCTGCCCCATCCCAGGTACTCCCAGGCCAGGCTCTGCGACGCATCTGTTGAACCATGGTGGTCTCCCCTAAGATCTGGCTGAAACAGTCTCCTCCTTGCTCATGAGCAGAAATCACTTCAGCTATTGCTTCTCAGTGAGCGACTGCGGGAGGATGAGCCACAACCTGTATCCTGACAAGAGCACTTGGTGGCTCTCAAGTACTCAGCACACAGCAATGACCCACACACAGCACGATCGAGAATCAGGCGGGCCTCTCAAAGGGCTGTCTCCTCTTTGAGCTCATCAGTCTCCTGCCAACAGCTCAGGGTCGCAAGATCCCTCCATTTAAGACAGAGGAGTTGCTGGTAAATGAGAGACATACAATTTACAATGAGATACATGAGGAGATATTATTCAAAGGTGCCCTGGTGCTTAGGGTTAGGGCCAGAATGGTTTGTTTCTGTGGTATATGGTAGAGTAAGAAGATGTGTTGAGATCAACTTAGTTCTTAATGTAGTCCAGCATTATGGAGAAGCTCTTCTCCCAAGTAAGTTCTGTGTGTTTCCATGTGTTTCTGTTTGAACAACACTGAGGATTTTTCTTGTGAAAACTGGCTTAGTTGCACTCTGGGATAACAGCGAGTACCTCACGTGCTTATGCACATGCTGTGGCATTCCAGGAATGGCCCCAGTGCCGGGAATCTGGGGGAGCACAGGCTCTTCTCTTGACATAGACGAATGAAGTTCAAGGAAAAGAAACACAAGAGGAAGAAGCCAGGAGAGCAACATTGAAGGAGCTTCCTAGACCTTGTGTTCTTGAAAACCCATTTTTTTTCCTAGCCCTGGCACTCTGGCTGCAAACCACTCCTTACCACAACAGAGCACCGTCTGGCACTTCCAGCACCAGTGCCAGGGACTTCCTGGAGGCTGTCCCAGGGACAAGTCCCACCTCAGAGCCTCCAGCATTCATTGCAAGCAAGGAAGGAGCTTGACAAATATGACCCAACATCTCCCCGTGCAGACCAATTTCTGCCCTAACTCTGCAGGTAAGCAGGCACCTGCCGCATATGCCCTTGGCCAGACTTCTCAAAGGGATAGGGGCAACTGAGGATGAAAGCACAGGGCTGCAGACGGTCTGCTTTGTGGACTCTGCTGCTACTTACGTTCCTGTATGCTGCTTTCCTGGGCCATGTTTTCTTTGCTCTTGTAAAATGGAAACTTTCGAGAGAGGCGGAAACTCTTTTTACGTTTCGTTTTGACCGACTGTGAAAGAACATGAAGATGGAGGGGAAGGACAAGGGGGGAAAAAAACAGAACAATGGATTTTAAAGCATGCAAGAAAAATAAAAATGGGGACAATGGTGAGCTAAATCAAAGACCATCTCACAAATGGAATCTATGAGATTAAATGAAAGTTGATGTAGGAGGAAAAAATACATTTACAGGGAAATGTTGTGGGGATGTTAGAGGTTTCTAACCTAATCCACATTCACAGAACTCACTGGCACTTCCTAAAGAACAAAAGGCATTGTAGGCTCCTGGACACACACCCTAAGGCGCTACTGACATACAGAGTCATCTACTCCATGTCTCTCTTTCCTCTATTGTTCCGGAAGTCCTTTGGCCTGCAAAGCTCATAGAAGAAAATGGATGAATGGAAGAGGGCTCTCCTGTCTCCTCGGGTCTGATGGAAGGTGGCAGCTCTGGGGGTAGCCCTCCAGGGTTGCATGATGAGGCCAGGTTCCGATTAGGGTCCCCATGGTTCCAACAGAGTCTGTAGTCAGGCAGATACCCACATATGATTTTGTCATCCCCAAGTCAGTAAGCCTTTCAGACAGTCCAATTCTAATACACCTTCAAGAACTAATAAGCTAGGGGGGTGTAGAACACAGGCAAGTTGTGCTCTTAAAATGCTCCCTCTCTGCCTTCGGAACAGAGTCAACATCCTGAGAGGACAGAGCCAGCCCTGAGGAAAAAGCATATTCTTTGGTGCTCCCCATTGCTCTGATACAGCAGACCACACTCCAAGCCTTGGATCCTCTTTCAGGTCCTGGCTGCCATCCCCAGGGGTCCCCCACTTACCCTGTTGGATTCGATCATCCCTGTCCTGGCATGAAATTTCACAGTTTTCAATCGAGCTCTTTCTTTCTTTTCCACCCTGTTTGGGAGTCAGAAAAGATGATTCTCATTCCTGGGACACAGTCTCAGCAGGTGTAGCAGCCATTCCCTGGCTCACTGAGTGAGGACCAACTATCTCCCAAAAAGGAGAAAGAAGGCATGTGAGTGGCTTTCCAGTTAACTTGGACTTCATAGGGAACAAGCAGGCACCATCGGCAAAGAGAGCGAGCCAGGCCTTGCTGCTGACCAGGACAACTCACCTCTTCTTACTGGGAATCACGCCGATCTGCTCACTTTCTCCATGGGGAGTCACCAGCCTTGCCTGCCACCACTCATCATCAGAGGCATTGATGACATGAAGGATGTCACCATAAGAGAAACTGAGTCCCTGGCTGGGCAGGCAGCTGTCCCGAGTCCGGTCATAATCAAACAGGGCCCTGAAACACACAGCACATACATGGCAGCCTTGCAGCGCCCAGATCTCTGGGACATTGCATTCTCTGTTCAGTCCCACCCAGGTAAGCACTGCCACCCCTCCACCTTTTCAAAGAAAAAGCCCATTTGCCTAACAAGGGGCACAAGAAAAATTTCCATGAATTAGTCATGGCTTTGTGGTACAAGGTGGAATTCAAAGTAAGGCACATTCAATGGCCCTTTCCTTCATCCACATCCTAGGAAACTAGCTTGACCAATGGACAAGATATAAACGTATCTTCAAAAGGTAGTTGAAGATACATTAAAAAATACACACACGCACACATATAACGAGATACAATCACAAACAATGAATCGAAAATACCACAGACACAAAACAAGGTATCCAAGGTGGCCAAGAGGAAAGAAAAGGCTGATGCTGGGCCACACAATGACAAAATTGAAAGGGATCCTAGAAGTCTCCTAGCTCAGTCACTTTGCTTTCCATACAGGGAAACAGAAGCCAGGTAAGGAGGAAGTATTTGACCTTGGTCATACAGCTAACTAATCTAGGACAGAACTCAAGTCCCCTAATGAAACATACTGTGACACGTGATAAACCCAAGTGAAGAGACAGAGAGCAAAGTGGGAGAAGGTTGGTGGGGGCGTCATTCAGACTTGTGGAAATGGAGGAGACAGAGTGGGCAGCAGCTTATGTCATAGGAAACGAAGTTGGAAAGAACCCTAGGAACGTTCATCTGAGCTCACATGCAGTGGAAGGAGCGGGGAGTGGGGATTTGGAGGGGACTGAAAGCATCCTTCAGGGCCAACATCTCTCAGGTGCTGCTGCTAGCCCCAGCTCTGGAGAAGCTGTATTGGTATGTGACAGCTGAGCACCCTCCCTAGGGAGCATCAGCTTGGACACAAGTCCCCTTGTTCTCATCCAGTGAAGCCTCTCCTCCTAGGGTGTGAACTCTGGAATAAAGTTGCATTTTATCTTTCTTTTTTTTTTATAAAAAAATTCTTATTGGAAAGCAAGATACACAAAGAGGAAGATCTTCCATCCAATGATTCACTCCCCAAGTGGCCACAATGGCTGGAACTGAGCCAATCCAAAGCCAGGAGCCAGGAGTTTCGTCCAGGTCTCCCATGTGGTACAAGGTCCTAAGGCTTTGGGCCATCCTCAACTGCTTTCCCAGGCCACAAGCAGGGAGCTGGATGGGAAGTGGGGCCGCCGGGATTAGAACTGGTGCCATATGGGATCCTGGTGTATGCAAGCTGAGGACTTTAGCCACCAGGCTATCATGCCGAACCTGAAAGCTGTATTTTTTCCAACAGCAGTCTAGGCTCTGTTTTCTTCATGTGTGTGCTGAGAACAGATGGGTTTTAAAGATTTGTTTGCTTGAAAAGTGAAGTTTGAGAGAAGGAGTTAGACAGAAAGAAAAACCAAGATTTTTTTTGCTCGCTGGTTCACTCCCCAGATGGCCACAATAGCCAGAGCTGGTCCAAACTGAAGCCAGGAGCAGGTAATACCATCCTGGTATCGCAGAAGACCTAGGGCTTGGGTCATCTTCCATTGCTTTTCCAGGTACATTGGCAGGGAGGTGGATTGGAAAGTGGAGCTTGAACAGATGCTCACATGGAATGTCAGTGTTGCAGGCGGCAGCTTAACTGACTTAACATGCTGCGGCACAACCCTGGCCCCAATATGTATTTTTAACAAGCCATCAGAATGCTCAAGCATGACTACTTTGTGCACCCAACACGAAGGACTGCCTAGACCTCTGTTCTAATCCTTCAATCTCTACCTACAATCTGGTGCTCTTGTGGCTCAGCTGGAAGCCATGAGTCAAACATACCATGTCCCCAAGAGCAAGTCCAAATGAAAGAGACACTGCAGCAAACCTACTGAGAGTAAAATGCTTGTGTACCTTTTAAAGTTCTTGAAACTGAGTCCTTAAAAATTAGTAGCAGGTGATTTGAAAAAGCAATATTACCCAAACTCCAACATGGCCTTTATTTTCCTCAAATGCAGTAAGTAAGGAGAGAGGTGGGGACTAGTACACAAGTAGGCTTGCTTTGAGTTGCTTTCTGAGCTGTGTTTATGACAATCAAATCGGAATGCATGCGTGTGTGTGTGTGTGTGTGTCCTAAAGCAAGGCAGGCCTTAGTGGGCCATTCTTACAAGAATGAGTGTGAAGCAGCAACTTCGTTCTAGATGACAATGAGATGCATTACGTGTCATGATGGACTTCATAAATCAGAGCAAACATTGTAAGAATTTGAATTGAGCAGAAACTATGGGAAGGGAAGGAAAGAAGATGTTAAAAAATTAATTAGCATGTCTGTAGAAGATTAAAAGAGTTCACTGGTTCAAGATTTCAAACAGTATACATTTTAGCCCCTAATGGAATCATTACTGGCCTTGGCAAAAGCACTAACAAGCTGGAGTACATGTGTAAAAGTTGACGTAAACATGCTTTCTGATGCCAAAAACCCAACTATTTGGTTTTTATTTTCTTAATATCTGAGGTTTAGGAGCCAGCAGCATGACTCAACAAGCTAATCCTCTACCTGTAAGCACCAGCATCCCATATGGGCACCAGTTCATATCCCACTCCCACATGGGTGCAGCGTCCCAAGGCTTTTGGCCATCCTTGACTACTTTCCCAGGCCACAGCAGGGAGCTGGATGGGAAGTGGAGCAGCCGGACATAAACCAGTACCCATATGGGATCCCACTATTTGGAAGGGGAGGTTTAGCTAATGGAGCCATTGCACTAGGGTCTCATATTTGTTTTATTAAAAAGTACCTACAGGGCTCAGCACGGTAGCCTAGTGGCTAAATTCCTCTCCTTGTATGTGTGCCAGGAACCCTATAGGTGCCGGTTCACATCCTGGCTGTTCCACTTGCCATCCAGCTCCCTGCTTGTGGCGTGAGAAAACAGTAGAGGACAGCCCAAAGCCTTGGGACTCTGCACACATGTGGGACACCCAAAAGAAGTTCCTGGCTTCAGATCAGCTCATCTCTGGCTGTTGCGGCCACTTGCACTATCATTCCCAGTTGAGCAGACAGAAGATCCTTCTCTCAGTCTCTCCTTCCCTCTGTAATTCTGACTTTCCAATAAAAAAAAATACATACTGGGCCCGGCGCGGTGGCGCAAGTGGTTAAAGGTCCTCGCCTTGCACGCCCGGGATCCCATATGGGCGCCGGTTCTAATCCCGGCAGCCCCGCTTCCCTTCCAGCTCCCTGCCTGTGGCCTGGGAAAGCAGTGGAGGACGGCCCAAAGCCTTGGGAACCTGCACCCGCGTGGGAGACCCAGAAGAGGCTCCTGGCTTCGGATCGGCATGGTGTCGGCCCGTTGCGCTCACTTGGGGAGTGAATCATCGGACGGAAGATCTTCCTCTCTGTCTCTCCTCTCTGTATATCCGCCTTTCCAATGAAAAAATAATAAAAATAAAATCTTAAAAAAAAATACATACAAAAAAAAACACCCTACAGCATGAGCTAAAAAAAAAAAAAAAACCACAGATCAAAGCCTCTAGGAATGCTAGTAGTTACCCTGCACATTGGGACTTCTACTACTGATTTTTTTTTTTCATTTAAGATTTATTTATTTGAAAGGCTTAGTTACAGAGGGAGCTTCATTCAGGTCTCCCACATGGGTGTGGGGGTCCAAGCAATTGGGCCATCTCCCACTGCTTTCTCAGGTGCAATATCAGGGAACTGGATCAGGAGCAGAGTAACCAGGACTTGAACCAGCATCCACATAGGATGCTAGCATCCCAGGTTATGGTAGCTTAATATACTACATAATAACACCAGCTACTGGCTTTGCTTTTTAACCATGGCTTGTGTTGCTGTTCTGTTTTTTTTTTTTTTTAATTAAGTCAATCAAACACAAAATGGGGAAACAGATATAGTAGGCAGTGACCTGAATCATTTATTTCAGATAAGGGACATATTTGGCTCAATGTTCTTTGGCAGAAAAAAAAGAAGAAGAAGAAGAAGAAGAAGTAGTTGTATAATTTCAATTTCCTAATAAAAGGTAGTACTCAAATCTATCTGGACTTTGATGAATTTATGAATGGTACATGAATGAGAAATACAGAAGAAGGCGGACAATGCTTCTTTTAGCTGTAATTTTGTTAAAGGACAGGCAAGCATAACATGAGTTTGAAATTCTCAACTGCACCATTATTCCCAGTTGAGAATGTTAAAAAGAAAATTAATTAATGAGAATTTCCTTTTCTGACAGAACTGAAAATAGGAGAACTTTGCAGAACACTGCAGCCTATAGGTCATTTCAGCAAACTTTTTATCTAATAAGAGAAATTCCTTAGATATTCTCTAAGTTTCTTTCTAGCTCTTAGCACTACATGAATCAGGGTCTGTCTTAGTTTTTTTTTTTTTTTAAACAAGCTGAACATTCTTAATACCTCCAACAAGTCCTTTCTTTGTCAAGATTCTTGATTTGTTTTCTAAACCCGTGATGTGGATTTTTCTTTAAATCTACTTTGCCTCTTTTCCTGCAGAAATTTTATTGGATTCAAGAGCTAGAAAATGTCCTCACAGGCCAGGTATGCACAGGACATTTCCTGCAGAAATCTAAGCTTTAAGCCATCGTCATGTGTATTTTAAAAACAAAATAGAAAGCTAATTCCCCACTTCACAGTGCCTAGAAAATACCATTCTTTAATTATTTAAATACTTTCTGTGTACTTTATGTGGAATAATAGCAAAGCATACCTACAGACTTGTGGGGATCCTGTGGTATCTAACAGAGGGGAATGCTGAGTGTTGGGGTGGACAATAGGCACAGGTCACACGGCCACTTAGGATTCTCACATCTTATATCAGAGAGCCTGGTTTGCATCCCTGCTACTCTACTTCCTGCTTATGTCTACACGGCATCAGACATTGGCTCAAGTACTTGGATTCCTACCATACATACAAGGGTTTTAGATAGATTTCTAGGCTCCTGGCTTCAACCTGACCTAGTCCTGGGCTGTTGCAGCCATTT